TAGGGTCGCTATGAGTCACAAGTGACTCAATGGCACACAACGACAACAACCTTTCAGTTAGCAGTTCAACCACCTAAGGATTCAGACAAGAAATACAGGCAACTGAAAACGCATGACTGAGAGTCACAACACTCAATCTAGTTATTTATAATTAATAGTCATTCTTGGGGAAGTAAGAATTGAATCATGAGCACAAACTATTCTCCAGTTTAAAGAACAGAAGGAAAACACAATGGGTGGAGCTGGGAGGCAGCAAGGACAAAAAGTGGCACCTGTTTCTGTTTAATGGAAAGCTAGCAGTTGTTGTTAAGGTGCCCCTGATCCAGGCCGTGGGCTTCGCCATTACTTGCTCTGCATCAGAGAGCTGGACATTGACTTAGGATGACAGAAAAAAGAACTAGTGCCTTTGAGTTGTGCTTCTGTAGAGGAGAGTCTTGAACATACCAGGGACTCCCAAGAAAACAAATAGGTCTGAATCGGAGAGAGTGAAACCAAGTTGGAGGCTAGGATTTTAAAGCTGTGTCTCACATACTTTGGGCACATGGCCAGGAGAAAGCAGTCCTTGGAGGAGGACATCATGCTTAGAAGGTTAGAGGGACAGTGCAGGAGAGGAAGACTTCGGAGGAGGTGGACTGATACAGTGACTGGGGAATCGAGGGTTGGTGTGTCGGAATCAGTGAGATGGATTGAGGACAGGGCAGGCTTCAGAGCTGCTGTATGTGGGGTTGCTGTGGATCACAGGAAACTCAGTGACACCTAACAACAGCCTAACAGTAGTGGCAACTACTAGTGACCCTATGACCATCTGACCTGAACCCTGCCCTATCCTGTCCCATCCTCATCATCTCTAACACACTAAAGGCCACTGAAGTCATCTGTCAGTCTATCTCATTGAGGGCCTTCTTCTTTGCTCACCTTCCATCTTTCCAATATGATGCACTTTTCCAAGGAATAGTGTTGCCCAAGCTACATGTCCAAAGTATGAAAAGATGGAGGTCATTTTTGCCTCAAATTTTTGTGGAGAAGTTAGTCACATTCAGTGTAATTATCAATATGTAATGGTTTTACCTCTGTCCCTTTTCTGCACTCTTTTTGTGATGTTGCTAATGTTGCTCTATCCACTTTAAAGAGTTGGAATGATCTTACTTACCATTTCACTCACTGTTTGTTTTATATGTGAAACTTGGTCTCACATACTTTGGGCAGGTTATTCAAAAGGATCAGTCCTTAGAAAAAGATATCATGTTGGGAAAGGTGGAGGGTCAGAGAAAGAGAGGAAGGTCCTCAACAAGACGGCTTGGCAGTGATTGTAACCATGGTCTCAAGTATATCAGAGCTGGTGAGAATGACACACGACAGGTAAAGTTCAGGTATGTTGTCCGTGGTATCTCTGTGAGCCAAAGTCAACTTAATGGCACCTGCCAAGGTGTCTTGATGATGGTCCTCTTTTTCCTTTTGATGATGTTGCTCGGTGCCACTGAGCTGACTGTGAGTCATAGCAACCCTGCGGATGACAGATAGGAACTTAGCCCCCTATCCTGTGCTATCCTCACACTATTCAAGGCCACTGTCGCAGTGACTGTATCAGTCCATTTCATTGAGGGTCTTTCTTTCTTCCACTGATCCACCTTGTCCAGCATGATGTCTTTTCCCAGTGACTGGCCCCTCCTGGCAATATGTCAGAAATACGCTAGATGAAGTTTCACCATCCTTTCCCTAGGGAGAACTCTAAGACAGGTTGTTCCTTGGGCAGTCCATGCGTGTGCAGTAGTCTTTGCCAACATCATAATTCAAAGGCATCAGTTCTTCAGTCTTTATCTATCACCCAACTTCCAGATACACAGGAAGCAGCTGAAAAGTCCATGGTTTGAATTAGGTGTCTTTACAGCTCTTAGCACTTTAAAGAGGTCCTTACCAGCATCTATCAAGATGCTATCTTTCCGTCCACCGGCTAGGACTTTTGCTTTCTTGATGTTGAGATGTAACCCCTATTGAAGACTATCGTCTTTGATCTTCTAGAGTGATTCAAGTTGTCTTCACTTTCCACAAGGAAGGTTGTCCCATCTGCATGTCACAGGTTGTTGATGAGCCTTCCTGCAATCTCGATGTCATTCTTCATGTAATCCAGCTTCTCAAATTATCTGCTCAGAACACAGATCACATAGATATAGAGAAAGGATACAACCTTGTTGCACAACTTTTCTGAATTTAAATCATGCAGTATTTTGATGAGGTGTATTAATTCCACTGGAGGGTACTCTACTAGCTATTATTTTAATCCTGTGTACAAGAGTTTACTTTACCTTGAAATCACTCTGACTTCCTCCCCCTTTAGTTTGTATCTACACTTATTCCTTTTCTGTATTATAGTTGTCCTTATTTATCAACTAATAGCCGTGATTCTCTTAATTTTAGTCTCATAAGTTTCTTTTGTGTAACTGAGTGTCTAAAGGATATTGTTGCTGCTGCTATATACTGTTGAGTTGGACCTACCAGCTGACCCTCCGAGTTTTCAGCAGCAGTAAATTGTGTGTGTTCAAACCCTGTGTCTTTAAGACTGCAGCAGCTTCTAACAACAGCCAGGCCACCAGTGCTCCCTGAATGATGTGGCAGCATATGCTAATTTCAGGTAACAAGTGTCTTTGTTGGTTTTGTCACAGGTTCTGTTTATCTGGAAATGTTCCCATTTTATTGCCATATTTGAGGGAAAATTTTGTTGACGGCACATAACAACAACAACATCATATCATTTTTAGGAAAGCCCAGGTGGCCTAGTGGCAAGGAGCTGCACTGCCAACCCAAAGACAGGTAGTTAGAATCCACCAGCCAGAGAGAGGTGAGCAATCTCGTCCTGTGCAATTCACAGCCTCTGAAAACCTGACAGAGGGTTACTCAGTTCCAACTTGATGGCACTAAACAACAACATCTAATTTTCGGCTGGCAAATTTTCCTTTCAGTGTTTTAAATATGTCTGCCCATTGCCTTACTGTCCATGTGGTTTCTTGGAGCACAGTCCTTTCTGTTCTGTGTAATAGGTAACCCTTCCCCTCTGCCCCGCCCTCCAAGTTGTCTTCCGTATTGTTCATCTTTAATGTTGGAAAATTTGATTATATCTTAGTGTTTTTCCTGTGGGTTTGCCCTTGTTTGGGGTTTTCTTGGATTCCTGAATGCATGTTTTCTCATTTCTCATCACGCTCGGGCAGGTTTTTTCCCATCTAATTGAAGTTTTTTTCACAGTACACACCCCACACCACATCCTGCCGAGCATCACTGTCCAGCAGACTTGAAATTATTCAACATTTCCTCTGACACTGATCTTCCTCGGAAACCCTGTGGTCTCATAAAAAAAGTTGCCATTTTTTAAAAATGTGTATTCTACGTGTCTTCTTTCATCTTGTGAGTTTACTGAATTCACTGCTGTTAATTCACAAAATAACTCTCAGTGGTGTAAGCTACACATTCATGAGACAAGAAATATGGCTAACAGAAAGGAACCAGCATCTGGGAACCAGGATTCTTGTTCCAGTCTTGCCATGAAACAACAACGGGATTGTTGGGAAATCACTCTCTGGGCCCCAATTTCCGTATCTGCAAAAGGAGATGGAGCAGATACAAGCAGCTCAGGCTTCCAAATGAGATCTGCTCTTAACTGTATCTTTAAGCATTTGGAGGTATGCAGGAACAGGTGTATGCGACTCTTTAGTTCTGTAAACAAATGCTCTGGAGGCAGCATGTAACCTGTGACACAAAGATTTACAGTCTTGAAAACCTGAGGGGGAGGGGCTGATGACCAGCCAGAAGCTATTTGCAGGAAGTGGGTTGTAATGTAAGGCTCAGGGGAGCTCTGGTGGCCTAGTGGCAAGGAGCTGCTGAATGGTTCGAATCCACCAGATGCTCTGCCGGGGAAGGAGGGACAATCTCCTCCTGTACCAGTCAGATCTGATTTGACGGTACACGCACACAAAAATAATAAAATAAATATATTAAAAAAAAAACAACCTTGCCCTATCCTGTGCCACCTCAAACTCTCCACCAAATTCAAGCCCATTGTAGTCACTGCATCAATCTATTTTATTG